TTTTCATTATTCCTAATTGATAGTATTGGCTCTTCAGATATACCTTTTAATTTTCTAAAGGTTTTGGAATATTTGTATGTCCCACATGTACAAATGATAAATCACCAAATATGGTTTACAAATTTGCAGTTCCTGATATTATTGACAGATTAATAATTCTATTGAAATAGAGTTGTTTAAATAGATATATTTATTATAAATAGTGGACAGGCATTGCTTCAAAACTTAGAAAGTTTTGTTTTGTTAAATTTTTGTTAAACATCTACCCCATCTGTCTAAAACTTAAGTCCAATAAAAATCAAACGGTAATAGGCTATCTAGATCGTAGTAGTTAGTATCATCTTAAAGAAATTAGACTTTTTGATAAAAGAAGAGAATTTAATTTTTATACTATAAAACTTATAAATTGGAACTTCAACATATCTAAAAAAATTATAGCAAATACAATTATTAACCAAATTATTATAATTTTAAGAAAATGTACTAAAATAGGAAAACAACAAGACATCTTAATTCTTGACAAAATTTAAAAAAGATAATGAAATTCCAATTATATTCATTAACAGTCTTTTAAAAAAATCTGGAGTAGTCTACACCCTATAAAGATTTTTAAAAATATGAATTTTTTATCTGAAATCTCCAATAGAGAAGGGTAAAGAAGGACATTTTAGAAAGTTATATAGGTTTTTATTTTAATTTATGATTCGTTTTATTTCTTTGTTTTGCTGTAATTAATTTTTGAGGCCTACTATTTTCAAGTCACCATAATAAGCCTATAACGTGAAGACTTTATTTTTCTAATCTTTGTCCTTTACTTCCTTTTTTTACTTTCCTTTGCATTTTACCAAGACTAAATTTGTAATTTTCTTGAAAAATGTTTTTAAACCAATTATATATATATATACACATACACTCTGGACAAAAAATTAGCGAACCAAGAAGGAGTCGTCAAAATGAAACGAAAGTTTACATACGTGATGACTATTTTGATATAAGTAAATGATAAGTAAATCAAAGAAAAAGGATAATTTATTTCAGAGAAAAAGGCAAAAGAACGGAGGAGTTAATACTCTGTTGGACCCCCTCTAACGTGAATACACAATGCGATACAATCGGGCATTGAGTCATACAAGTTCTGTATGATGTCTTGAGACATTTTGTTCCATATTTGCTGTAACCTTGCCTCTAGTTTGTTCAAACTTGTGAGATGCCCAACTCGTCGTCCCAAATGATCCCAGATATGCTCGATTGGAGACAAATCTGGGGATCGGGCAGGGCAAGGAAGGGTAGTAACAGTGCGGAGACAGTCTTGTGACACCCTTGCCATATGAGGCCGAGCATTGTCTTGTAAAATGGCTTCTGGGAGCGGTTGCATGAGTGGCAATACATGTGGTTTCAGGATTTCATGAACATACCGCTAGGCTGTCATGGTGCCACGGAACAATACTAGGGGTGACCGTGTATTGTCGGCAATGGCACCCCATACCATCACACCAGCTGTGTGAGCAATGTGCCGCTGTACAGCAAAGGCAGGATTGAGGTGTTCACCATGGGCTCTCCACACACGAACACGATTGTCATCACTGCCGAAATTGAATCTGGATTCGTCGCTAAAGACGACCTGCTCCCATTCCGCTGCAATCCAGTTTCCTCGTGCTCGACACCACTCCAAACGGAGGCATTGATGGGTGGGCATCAAGGGCAGCACATGTAATGGGCACAGCGATACTAACTGTTATTCAGCCAGGTGCCTTTGTATGGTTCGAGAAGACACAGGGGCCCCTAGTGAAGGTGCTACCTGTGCCTGGATGGTGGCCGATGAAGCAGTTGGCTGTACACATGCATTTCTTACGATGTGGCGGTCTTCTCGACGATTGGTTTGTCGAGGGTGTCCTGAGCCTGGTCTTCGTGTACATGACATCTCTCAGGTCCACTGGTCCCAACACAATCAGAGCAACCTAATTGACGAGCTACTCGCCTGGCTGACCAGCCAGCTTCCATCATCCCGTCGATTCTCCCCCTCTCAAACTGTGACAACTGCTCATATTGTCTTCGAACACGGCGTAATAGCATGTCTACCTCAGCTTTTCCTTTCTAAATGATTCAGCACACTCAAACAAGCTTTGGTTACCTGTTTTATACTCCACAGAGTACGACGTTTAACACCTTCTACCGGCTATACGTAATTCACAATCACGCTGCATTTCTAATCATTTGCATAGCTCCTCAACATGTACCTTCATTGCAAGTTTCGTTACAATCCCACAAATATTTCTTGGTGCGCTAATTTTTTTGTCCAGGAGTGTATATATATGCATATATATATTTCCTAATAGCATTTAATTCACCATAAGAAATTTCTGTGCTCCTTTGACAATAGTTTTAAAATGCAAAAACTTACAACCATTAGAGTCTCTAACAAGTTTTAAAGTATATTAAATATTTGGAATTTTGTATATTGATTTTAATATTCTCTATTTTTTCTGCTATTCATTTTAATGCAAATTTTTCAACATTTAAGTTGCAATTTTGTTTTTAATTTAAATTTGGTTTTACTTAGGAAGTGTTTGGTATCTCCAATATTTAATTGACGTTTCAAAGAGTTAATGTATTTTTTAATCAAAATTTTTTCTTTGAATTTAAAATTCTTTGCTATGTAGCATTAAATTCACCTTGGAAGATAACTAGCCCGACTACAGTTTGTAATTTTGCCTGAGGCCAAACTGACGACCCTAGGCATCTCTGGGTCTCAGCTATTAACGGTTCTTTTCTTTGTTTCAAATGATGTTTGGAAGGAGGTTCTCATAATATTATATGTTAAAAACTTTTTGCTGCATAGCAGTTTATTCTCAATTTTAACTTGTTAACTGTAGGTGTTTACTTTCTTATTCTACGTATAATGGGTAAGTTTTCAGTTTTGGTAATAATTCATTTTTAATAGAAAAAAGCTTCATTAATGGCTGTACCTTGTTTATATAACTGTTTTGCTTTGTTATATTTTTGCCATTTTTCCGTGCTTCGGGGAGCACCAGTGTTTTCGGATGAACTCTTAAGATTAACCCTCTGGCTGCTCATCCCGCGATTTTCACAAGCAACTCAAATGTAGCAAAATCTGCTTATCTTGCGAGCATGTGTTTTTCTTCCTTTATTGAGGAGCACATCCCGTTTTTTTCCCCGTTTAATGCCTGAAATAAATTATATACAGTATTAGACGTTTAGTTTACGTTTTGGCCAATAGATATCGTTAGTTGTCCACTGATTTGCGGCATTTGAAGGCACGTGTTATTACCACTCAAACTCCAATTTTTTCTTACAGAAATGGCTGCTAGAAAACATTCAGCGATTATCTTGATTATTTAATTAAATTATTGAATTATTAATTAGATTTATTGAATCTGGTGCAAAGACTGTGAAGTTGGACTTTGCCTTGAACCCTGTTTTGAACTGTGTCATACTAAACTGCATTTTTTTCTAAGATATTTTTTCCTCGATGCGTTATATTTTCTTAAATTTTATATATTTTACTTTTTTATATTATGCAATAAATATAAATTAACTGTTATTCGAATGAAATTTATTTTAAAAAAATTTTTTTGGGGGGGGTGATAACATATGATTTTTTTCCCCCTGGCAGCTTAGTTTCTCATGATTAAAAATGTATGTAAAAAAATATTTTCTAGAAAGGAAAAATGCATTTTTCAATTCTCCAATATATATAGATTTAAAATATGCTAAAATAAAATTGCACAATTTTTTAAACAATTTCGGTCCACAAATTGAGCAGTCAGAGGGTTAAAAAATATATTGGAATGGTTCATCAGCTAATTCTGGGTATAGGGCTTTTTTTATAGAAGAGGAATTTTAATCAATTTTGGCGTGTCCTCCTCCTAAAGACGTTATGTCGGAGTTGATTAGATTCCACTTCTTTCGTGTTCGTTTTTACATATTTTGGTTTTTCTTGTATTGGTTTATTTTAATTTTTCTTTTTACATTTTCAGAATTTTAATTCTACATTTCTAAGTTTTCTTAAAATTTATTTTTTTAAATTTCAATTTTTGGTCTTTTTTGGGGGGGGTTCTAATTTTTTTCTTTACGTATTTACTTATCAATTTTCAGCAGCATAATGCACGAAAATTATTGAAATAATTTTATATACTTTTCTTTTTAAGTATTTTTGTGTTTATATATATAATATATATCTTTGATTAATTATTTCAACAAACAAGGAATGGAATAAAGTGATATGCTTTTAAGTCTTTTTATTGATAATACTTTGAAAAGGAAAACATTATTAAAAGAGATAAGAATGATATATTTAGTTAATTTAACAGTGGCTAAAAAGCAGTGGTTACACATATATATTTCTTTAGAAAACTGTGTGATGCATGTTTTTGGTCAGACTGTTTGTTATATAACAGAAAAGATTCTAATGAATTTATCATGTGATTTCCCTTCTTCTCAGTTAGTTACAAAGTGTCCAGTTCCTTTTATAAGTTCAACTTCCTTGATTATTTTCTTTTCTAGAAATAAAATTTTTGGTTGAATCATTCTAGAAACTATCTCAGATTTGAGTTCTGAGGAACTTTTTCTGATCAAATGTCATTAAAATGCAACCACGAGTGGTTGAGTGATAAAATCACTGAACGCTGGTAGTTTCAGGTGGGCTGAAGGGGCCTTTTGATTGTTTCAGCCATGTGTAATGTCGATATAAGCCAGTTTCCCTTGGAAAGTCCTTCTGTAAAACCATCCCTACCCATAGGCAGATAGCCATAATGTGCTTTGCCATAATCAACTAAACTAAACCAAATCATTAAAACACACAAAGTAAAACAAAATCTTCTGTAAAACCTGAATTCACTTTACAATAGATGCTGTAACAATCAATAAGTGATGCTTCATTTATTAGTTGTAGCTTCATTTATTCTTGTAGGTTCTTTTCTTTCTGAAGATTTTTTAATAAATACAATATTTTAATATAAACTATAATTTTTCTCCCCTAGAGTTTAATAATGGTGTTTGCTCATTTGATCAATCATCAGATTGAACCAGTGCTTGATTTTTTAAGTGGAGTTCCTGGTCCAACTGGCCAATCAGCATTAGAATTTGTATTAAATCTCTGGTGCCAGTGCCATCCTTTATTTTATGGAGAGTATGAGAAAAAAGTGAGGTGAGAATATTTTATGTACCTAAAAATTTTTTTTGAGTGTATCATATAATAATTTCTTTACATCATACAATTTTATTTTCTTTGGCAGTACATTTGCTCTATCTTTGATACTACAACATGGCTTGAAAGGCAATGATCAGCGGTTGCAAAACATTCATGTGAAAGGAGACCAAATATTTAATCACAATGAAGGTCCTAAAACACGCTCAAAGTCTTTACAAAGTAGGTGGTTTCTCAAATCATTAAAATCAAATAGTATTATGTATATAATTGTATTATTTTAGAAATTAAATGTTCTTAATATGTAAAACATAGTTGGATGTCATAGTTAAAATATGAAGTATTTATTTATAAAAATTTATAAAGTATTAATTTGTGTTTCATGAAATTGAAATAAAATTATTGCATCTTATTTTTTTGCCATATTTAAAATTAAATTGCAAGAATAATGAGGACTTGAATTCCCTTTTAATATGATACTCAACCTGGTCTATAGTAATGAATTTAAATAAATAATGAATTTTAAATATTAATTTATCTAGTACTAAAATTATTTTTCATGCAGCATTGTGGTGTGAAACCTATAAATCAGAAATGTAGTTTAACATAATTTATTTAATGAAAGAAACACAATTGATTTTGAAAAATTAATTTCCTTCATATTTCAAAGTCCTCCCCCTGCATTCGAGTGTTTACAGTTGCTTAAAAAATAGTAGCATTGAAAGTGATTTTGAATGCTATCCATTTCTATCTTAAGAGACTCGTCCTCCCCCCCCCAAGATGCTTTTAATTCAAAAAATATCTTCTATATTTACTGAGAATTTTCCTAAAAATTTGGCACAAGAGATAGAAAAATTATTCAAGTAATCAAGTAATTGATATTCACACACTTTAACAGTTGCCAAAAAGTATTCAATTTATCCATAAGCTTGTTTTTAATGTTATTGACTTTTTAACAAGATTTACAGTTCTGTCCATATCTGAGATTTGAATTACCAAAAAGTTAAACTTTCAGTCAGTATGATCCTTCATTGACTTAAATACAGAAATGTATCTTAGATAGACAACACTGACTGAAAGATTAACAACACACCATGGACTTATATAATTAAATATTAGTTGAATTAATAGGTTTGAGATGCATCAAAAACATAAATCTCATTTCTAAAAGGTATTAATTAATCCTCTAAAAGTCTAAATCATATATATACACATTCAAAAATATTAGTCATGGTATCCTGAAATACACTGGCTTACATCTTGAAATGTGTCCAAACAATTTAAACAGTACACTCGTATCCAAAAAATAAGCAATAAATTCTAAAAGATAAGGTACAAATGTGAAAAAGAGAATTAAAACATACGATTTACTATAAGGTAGAGGTTGCATCGTCAAATGCAAATAGGCAACCAAAATTAGCATAAATCCCAACCCTGCTATCATACCACAATGCCTTAAAAAGGGGCATGCCGAACCTATGCATCAGTTTGCAAGCAGTGATAGTTCCGTGTAATCTGAGATAGCCAAAGTGGAAGGCATGAGCCAAAGACACCATATGTACGATAAAATGCATTGGGTGTTGAAATGGTGTAAGTTGGTACAAAACAATCCGCTGTTACAAGAGAGCTGAATGTGCATCTAGTGTCATCAATAGGCTATGGAATCGTTGCCAAAGGAATCAAAACTTCTGTAAAAAAGGTCTGCACTAATTGCCACTAGCCTGCAGACCTTGCATCTTATGAGATTTGGTATTGGATTACTTTAAGTCACAGGTGTGCAGAGGTTGGCCATTATTATTGACTGGAATTACCCTCTTCAGTGCTATGCAAAACATTGTGCCAGGTCTGGAGTCATCTTCCAGAATGACAATGCTATGCAAACTTTCGTCACAACACTTGTTGAAAATGTAATTCTGACAATACTTTTTTTTTAATTTGATATCTTTTTGTAAACTTTTATAAAACCTCATAGTGTTATTATATATACTTTTTTTATTATTGAGTTTTTACTTTTTCTGTTACTTTTGGACCACCTAAAAGTCGTTAATTCAGACACCCATAGTCCGGAATGATCTATAATCCGGACCTCAAAGCTAAAATCTTTCTGCGCATGCGCCGCATTGACGCATGCGCATAGGCGTTTTACTCGTGCGTGCAAGACATTTACCACTGCGCATATGCGTCTGCGCAAGTGCAGAATACGTTTTCGCATGCGCGTTTAATATATAACAAACGGTATAAGCTAAAATTATCTAATTATCTATTTCAGTTAATGTTGATGATTGCGTTGTTCTTTAATCTTCGAATTGGATCCGGCTTATTATTTTTTGCAGACTGTAAGAGCAATTTTCTAAAAGTAAGCTTGAACTTTCGATTATGTCAAATAGAATTTCCGATGCTGGAGCTCCCAAAGGATCTAGAAAACGAAAGTATGTTTCGATGTCCATCAAACAAAAAAACGAATTGCTACAAAAAATGGATAAAGGCATTTCTTTGTTTATCTAACCGTTCCGAAATCTGTTTATCAATTTCACGCTGCTCTGCGCGGGGGGGGGGGGGGGGGGGGGGACATCGCGGCGCGCAATGAACTGGAAGTTGATCTGTCAACACTATCGTTATCTTCAGGGCAGAGATGTTTTTATTTTATTCGGCTTATAATTCCTTACTAAATGTAGTATTTAATTTCGGTGTTGTACTCCGTCTTTGATATGATTTAAATCAAATTCCTCGTCATTATAAATATCACGAATACAAATCAAATAGTTTTCTGGTTGCAATTTTCTAATTTCGGCTATGCGTAAGGTATGCTTTACGCATCCCGCGCGTTTGAAAGAAATGTTTAATAAAGTAAACAAATAATAATAAAGATTAGGCTTCTTTTTTGGTAAATTTTGATACCCTTTAGATCGTACGTAATTGCTCATTATTTTATAAAATTACGGTTTCATATTTTTAATTTTATAATTTCTGCATGCCATCTTACCAGATTTTTAAACTGATTTGATCTATAATCCGGAAAAACGATAATCCGGAATCGCCAAAGTCCCGACGAGTCCGGATTAAAGACTTTTGACTGTACTTCTGTTATAAAGATAATTAATTCAGTTCTTACTTCGCGAGAAGGCAAAAATACAAAAAAACTCAAAATATCTATATTAAAAATTACGAAGTAAATTTCAAACACTTATTTCCTCGAAAAAATTCCAGAAAGAATTAAGCATGATTTAATTGGCAATAATAAATGAATGCATTATCTTTGTTGTTGCGAAGCTAAGTTTCTCTAGATTGGCAACAAATCTACTAGTCTCCTGTTTTAAATGTAAACATCAATGGCCGCCATTTAAAACAGGCTTAGCGACAATTAAACAACTTTAAAATTGCTGATAATTCTAAAAATATTGCACACAGATTTACTAAAGGCATAAAATCTTAACCGGAAGATAAAAACAATATAATTCAATCATTTTTAAAGAAAAAATGTACAATTTACAAACATATAAGAGTAAAGAAACTGAGATCACTGAGCCGGGTAATAGAGTGGATATATATATAAATATATTTATATACGTTTGGTGCGGCCAATTGCAACCAAAATACGAGGTGCACATCTACATGTTATAGCAGTCCTATATATAAAATTTCAACGTTCTGAGGCTACTCTTTTTTGAGTTATGCGAGATACGTACAGACGTCACGAAAAATTCTCTTCAGAATTAATTTTAAAGCAGTTTTATAATTTTTTTGAAGGAAAAGAGTATTTTATTCTCTCCTTACGTACAGATATCATGCAAAAACATCGTTAAATTGCATTCGATAGCGGTCAAAATGGATATTTTCGTTGAAATATGCTGCCTGAAACTTTTCGCGATTACAATACTTCCTTTTTACTTCGTACAAGGAAGTAAAAAGGATTAATCTGAAGTGCATGAAATGTGCTCTACTTTATTTACATGGTTTTTTTCATTACTGCAATATTAAGCACTTAACAGGGCCATAAGAAAAATAATTTTGTTGAATTAAAAAGGGTTTTTCAAATCTTTAATACCTATCCTTTCAATCTGTTACTTTTCATATTCTTGTCTGACTTTCTGATCTTGAAAGTTTAAAAAAGTTTTGATTAAAAAAGATAAAAGATTTGGTTGGTTCATCAGAATGCTTCTTAAACATATTTTTATTTTGGTATATTGGTAGTTAAAAATTGAATTGTAAAATTTTAGTCAGTTTACAGCCATTTAGTTGCTGGAGTCATTATCATTCATTTAGGGAACAAACTGGTTGTCAAAAAAGAATTTTATTAATCTTATAATTATGTTAGAGATATAATACTCTGTTCAGTGTATTAAATTGCTTACATATCTAATTTGCCGGCATGCCAACAATTCTGACTTAGACAGGAGAATCTGAATTTTCAACCACTCTCCCACTGTTGGATTCTTTTCTGATCTTCTCATAGTGGGTTCTAGGCTAGTAGTAATGTGTAATATTCATGAATAAGTGAATGTATAAAGCTTGACACACACACACAGAAATAAAACATTTATTTAAGATGAGCAATTCATGTTCCTGTTTTTACAAGCCAGCCTATTGTTTCCACTAACCAAAAACATTCTCTATATACCTACGTAAAATATTCTGTCTCTTTTGCCCCCTTCCCCCAGGATGGACTAAATTCTTCGTCATTCAAATTTTCGTTTATTCTAGTATCACGTGAATAATGTCCTAATTATTGCATAAATCTAATAAATTTTAAAGTTTAATCTAATGAATAAAAATTATACAAATCTTTGTTAAATATCTTTAATTAAATTTTGCAAAATAATAATCTAAGCACATTACACTTGTGCATAATACTAAATTATAATGTTCAAATATTCAGTAACAAATTCACAAACAAATTAACATAACAGTGGTAATAATAAATTCAGTTAAAATTTGTAAACTTTATCACAGTCCTTTTAAAGTCAATTATAAAGCACTTTAGTCCTGTATTTCAAATGGGTACAGGAGTTGGACTGGGCTCCAAATTGTTCCAACTGTAGTTTTAATATTATAAGCTCTTACCTATTCATCATGGCCGAGGAAAGCTTCAATGATCTTACCCATTTTCCATATGTTTCTCAGAAAACATTCATCTCCTATCAATACCAGTTCATTAATTTTGAAATTTTGAACTTCTGCATCATGTGTGCTGATCATAGGTTCATGAGATATCCACTTTTTCA